AGAGCTTCAAAAAAAAAAAAAAAAGTTGAGGTTGTTAGATCTTCCTCTCCCCCCGCTCCCGGTTATTTTTTGGTGTTGTTGTTGATGTTGTTGTTGTTGCTGTTTGTTTGTTTTTGTGTGAGTGTGTGTGAGAGTGTGTGTGTGTGTGTATGTGTGTGTGTGTGAATTTTCACTTATTGGAGGGAGCACTAACAATTTTTCACACACACACAGATTCTTCACCAATATGTTAGGCGACCTTTTACTGTGTTGGAAGGACATTCCTTAGTTTCAGCACCAGAGCAATGGACAGAGACATACAATTATTGGTGTACACAGTGCTCCAGACTCCACACGGAAATGTCTTCACACACACAGTGTAGTAACAATAAAGAACTCATTTTTATGTGTGATGTTTTTTCCTAAATAAATCCAGCAAATTCTGAGATTAGATTGGAAGAAGTAAATCGGAGAACTTTTCTTTCATTAAACATAAAACTAACTGAGATAAGAACAAGGTGTCAATAAAGTGGAGATTGAATTGTTACATGCACTTTTGATGATGGTGAGTTGCAGAATGGAGCTGAAGTATAGAAAATGAACTGATTTTCTAATTCTGAGCCCTAAGTTAGACCTGAAGAGAATTCACCAAAATCTTTCCTACCCATGAAAGTGTTCTGACTGTATTACTGCATCAGGGATCTCTGCAGGCTCTGAGGTGTGCAGACCAGCTCCTGCCCCAGATCCCAGAGTCAGGTAAGTGTCTGATCTTCTGATGGGGGTAGAAGGGAGAGTGTGGATAAGACACAGGCACATTACACCCAAGAAATCTGCACAGGGAGAGTAGCCAGTGTATGTGGGGAAGAGTGTCTTTACTCAGTGGTTGAAAGTTCCTCATGAGAAAGGCAATTCTGTGTCTGGACATTGCACATAATTAAGGAATAATGCATTTGGGTTAAATGTGGAAATTCCACTTGTTTGCAGACTTCATGGTTGTGTCTATTTGGCATCTAATAAATAAAATAAAACCATATTTTCCATATACAAAGCTACAACTTGTGAGGTTTTCCTGAGAATGCACGTTCTACACCTACAACTGCAGGGATCACAATGCACCTGGATGAGGCACTGGATTCTCCTCTCTGGACTCACCACATGGTGCATGCTGAAGACACATGTCCTGTGGTTCACTGTCAAGTCGTGACTGAGCTCCATGTTGATGCTAAGGCAGGGCCTGGCTGGGTATGTTGGGTCCTCTGATGGGCAGCTGTGGCTGCAGGATGGTTCAATAAACTTGCTGCAGTTCCTTTGACAGAACAGAAATTTAGCAAAGTTCCACCCAATCTTCCTTCCCTCTTTGCTTTACTAAGAGTCAGACTTGCATCATGGACTGACATATTCCCAAACTCATAGCTGGGCCCACTGCTTTTGATCTCCAAAGGGTGCATGTGTTTCTTGAAAAAGATAGGAAGTGTAATCCAGTCTTTGGATTTGCTTATTAAAATACCCAAACTAACAATTATTCTAAGAGTTGTTAATAATATGGACTTCAGTCTATTGGCAAATAGAAAATAACCATTGCCTTAGTAAGTTTTGTATGTGGATAAACCATGGTCTCCAGTTATTCAGTTAAATCTAATCTAAGTGTTTTTCTGATGGTGCTTTATATTTTGATTGAACCTGCCATCAGCTCGTTGAGATCCAGGAAGATTATCCTAGAAACCTTGGTTGGCTTGATCTAATCAGAACAGAAACAAAGAAGATGAAATTACATGGTGCACACAACTTTAGCTCTTCACAAGTGTTCCAGCAGGTCCTTCCTGATGGCTGTCCCTATAGACATATGTCATATCGATACAGCCACCACAAGTGCCACCACCTACAGCTCACACCACATCAAGTTTTTCCATCGAAAACTTTCCTGAAAATCGCACGTGAGGGAGGGGATGTCATGAAAGTTTGAGCAGCACAAGGTCGGTTGTACATCAGTATCCCATTCTGAGCAATCCCCAATTATCCCATTGTCTACTCATTTTCATTTGCATTCCCCATGTGGCTCCTTGTAGAGCGGACAGCAGGAAGGTCCTGTACAATGATGGGCAAGAAAGTCTCATCAGTGTTTCCCAGTTGTCTGCAGGAAGCACTGCCTGAGCCACACCTGAGCTGCAGGTAAAGGAACTCAGTCCTGGATTTTAGACAACAGAGACCACATCCTACATTTCCAGGGAGTATAAAAAGCAAGGGGAAAGAGAGAACAACAACTACAGAAAAATATAATTGAATATTATCAAAAGAACATCAGATCACTGCTGTGTCTATGCTGCATAATTTAGTGTCAGGAGAATGGTTAGAAGTGAGACCTATAAGATTTAATACATTATTGATTAGGGACTGGCCTCTCTCTTGACTTTATTCAGAATCCCAACACGCTGCTCTAATCAGACAATCTCCTGGGGTCTTTGCACTGAGTCTGATTGGAAAAGCCTCATCGGGTTCCACTGAGTTTCCTCAGGACACTGATCCTGGTAATCAAGACAGAGAGAGTGTTTTACATCTGGTGTGTGTGAGAATGTTTTCTCCTGGTACAACAGAACTTTCTTATTTCGGAGACATCAGAGCTAGGAACAGAACCATAAACTAACAGAGGTTCTCTGGGCAAACTGTCATATAGAGAGGCAGCCCCAGAAGGTGACAAGAAACCCGACATTAACCTCCACCTGCGCCTGCTCCTGGGCTGACCCTGTCTTCAGTGTGTCCTCAGCGCCACCTCGTGGTCGCTCATCCAGTTTCTTTTCTGCACACACTTGAGCATCTGCAAGAACATTCTGGACCTCAGGACTCTCTCCTGTATATTCTTAACCAAGATTAACTAAGAGTTATCTCTGGGATGCATGAAAGGTTTAAAAAAAGCGAGTAAAGAAATATTATAAATGATATTACAGAATGAAGGAGAAAAATATATGATAATCTCAACAGGGTCAGAAAAAGCATTTGACTACTTCAATATCTTTGTAATAACAAAAGTTTTAACAAATTAGTTATAACAATAATATCCCTCACGGCATTAATGGTCACATACAACAATCCCACAGCTAATAACATGCTTATCATTGAAAGTTTATCTTTGTTATATGTGATCAGAACAAGAAAATAACACCCTCTCTTTCCACTCCCCTTAAATATAGAACTGAGAGTTCTAGGCAGACCATTGAAGTGATAAAAATAAATAAATGACATCCAAATAGGAAATGTGTAGTGGATTGAATTATACCCCCACAAAACACCCTGAAGCTTGAGTTGAGTCACCAAAGTTTTATGTATTATAAACTTAGCCCCCACTGTGACTGTTAAGAGGGTGGGGAATCCTATTATGCTGATCAAAAGGTGGTTCCTTGAAGGGGTGATTGGATTGTAGGAACACACAGTTGTAAATGGATTAATAATGGTTGTCGGGGGCGTGGTTCTGCTCTCTCTGCTGCTGAGGACAGACACGAAACAGAGTCACCCCTTGACTTTTCAGGAGTCCCCATATTTCCACTGATTTAGGATATGGCTTTAGTTCTTCATAAAATGTCATTTTAGTTCTTCATAAAATGAGGAAATCACAGCTCAGCTCAATGTACATGGTGAATCATCTGTGTTCAGTTGTAGTCTCTGAATGGGAGCACCTGGGAATCTGGGGCTGGGGCTGCTCTCCCAGAGCTGCAAGGTCCAGACAGAGCTGGGTTTCACCTGTTTGCACGTTCTCCTGCTGTACAGCAAGCTCCGGGGTGGGAGCCTGTGGAGAGGACAGTGTCCAGAGCAGATGTGAGAGTCCAGGCAGAGTTTAATGGCCATGACAGCATTTGAGAGGATATTACTTCTTATTGTTTGCTTTTAATAGTAATATTAATGTCTATGATTGTATTTCGTGTTTTTCATATGTGTAAAGTACATGTCATATACGTGTCAGCTTTACCTCCTTTTAACAGAAGGAAAACTGAACAAAGAAACCCAGTGGAGCTGTGCGACATGCCCAAGAACTGACATCTGCTCACAGGGAGCCCACTGTCTGGTCTGCGCCCCTCATGCATGGACCTGCCGGCCTCCCAGGACCTACTCCAGTGCTGGCGTCACTGTACCTAGTGTGGTATGTTGAACTCCCTTCCTGTCATCAAAACATTCTGTGATTTAACCACATTCTAGTGTTTACTTTAGAATACACAGGGAACCAATATTCATGGAGATATATATTCAGGAGTCTGTGACAGTTCATGTGGCTTTATCTATGATTCTAACTCTATTTCTCTAATGATATATGTGTTTATTATGCGTAGGAAACTTATTGAGATATAACTGATGTGCAGTAAACTTCACATATTTAACATTTGTACTTGATAAGTATGGGCTCATGTGAGCTGCTGTGCACCCATCACCACACCAAAAATATTGAACACACCTGCATCTCAGAATGTGTCCTACTGATCTACTGTAACCCTCCCAGGGCCTTTGTCAGTCCTCACACCTGTGCTTCAGACCTCCTGACCTTTCTGCAGCTTCACATTAGTTTTTACCTTGTAAAATGTATATAAATAAAATCATACACTACATATATTTAAGATAATTGTTATTATTAACACATAAAATTGTGCGTAATTGTGCGGTAGAATATGATGTTTCCATATACATGTACATTGTGTAATGATCGAATAATGGTAATTGGCATATTTGTCAAGTTAATCATTGATCATTTCTTTGCTGTGATAACATTCAAAATCCTCTTCTGTCTATTTAAATGTGCAATGCATTATTGTTATCAGCCGTCGACTGCTGTGCAGGAAGAACCAGGACCCGTTCCTCCTCTCACTGTAACATGGCACCTGCTGACCAGCCTCTCCCACCTCCCCCTGCTCTCTGTTCTCACCAATGTCTAGTAGCCACCATTCTACTCCCAATATTTTTGATGTGTATGTATGTTTATATTCTGCCTGTGAGTGACTTGTGTGGTATTTGTCTTTCTACGCCTGAATTATTTCACTTACCCCGATGTCTTCCAGTCTTATCCATGTTGTCCTAAATGACAGATTTCATCACTAGCTTGAGTGAACAGTGTTCCACTGTGTTGATATATTGCCTTTCTTTATGAATCCATCCATCGATGCGTGTTTATGTCGATTCCATATCTCTGTGATTGTAACCACTTCTTCAGTAAACATGGGAGTTCAGAGTCTCTTTGACATGCTGACTTCATTTCAATTGGATTTATAGATGGCAGAGGGACTGTCAGAGGCCACAGGAGAGCCACGTGGGTCTCCTGGAGCATAGGACATAGAGCTCTGGAGGTTGACCAAGACCGTTGGGTCATGCGATAGATCTAGTTCTCATTTTTCTCAGAAATCTCCACACTGCTTTTCATAATGGCCATACACATTTCAATCCTCACTTTTCACTTTTGTCTTTTTTATAGTCCACTTTCTAACTGGTGTGATGTCCTATCTATTATTATTTGGAATTTTTCACTACAAGAGAAGCTTTCACATGTATTTCTAGAATTCTTTAAACTTCCTTTCAACCACCTCAAATCCTTTCTTAACTTTCTGACCAACATTTAAGTAAAGACAAACTATGTTTCTTTGTATTCTCACTTTATGAAGGAAATGAATCAATGACAAATTGTATAATATAGATGTCCCATCTGGCCTAGATAACTGTAACCTTTCATGATGATTCTTTATTTTAAAAAATGGGTACATCATCTAACCTGTGAGCACCACTAACAGGGGACATGTCACCTATAACATAATAAAGAACTGAAGACAGGGCTCCGACTATGCTGGGTGGGGACAGGAAACCCCAGAGCCTGCCAGGAAGCGGTGTCTGCCACACTTTCCTGTTCTGCAGAGGAGGAGGCAGCACACTGGGATCCAGCCTGAGTTCTTGCACAGGAGTCACCACGGGCTGTGTCTCTGTGTTCTCCGTGCACAGTAATATGTGGCTGTGTCTGCAGGGTCCATGTTGGTCATTGTTAGGACCACCTGGTTTTTGGAGGTGTCCTTGGAGATCGTGAGCCGGCTCTTCAGGGATGGGCTGTAGTATTTATTATTATCCCCGTAAATGTTTGCAAGCCACTCCAGTGCCTTCCCTGGGGGCTGGCGGATCCAGCCCACACCCGTATCAGAAGTGGCCGTATCAAAAGTGCTCAGTGAGAACCCAGAGAAGGTGCAGGTCAGCGTGAGCGTCTGGGTGGGTTTCACCAGCCCAGGACCAGACTCCTTCAGGGTGACCTGGGACAGGACCCCTGTGGAGAAAGCACAAGAAGGTGAAGTTGATTCAAGATGAGAACAGGAGGATTTCCATATCTATCAAAGTCCCTAACCAAAGCACTCACAGAAAGGGTTGGTCAGCAGCAGGAGAGTGAAACACAGCGTGTCCATGTTGGAGCACTCGAGTCACTGACCGGGGCTCAGCGCTTGGCTTTTCAACCCAGGAGAGGGTGGGGCTGGTGGAGATTTGCATTCCTCTCGTGTGTTCCTCATATGGGGTGGACTCAGGTCTGAGGACTCAGTAGGGGAGAGAGTCTGTGATGAGAAGCAGCGAGGCCTCAGTTGTGGGCTTCCACGTATGCTCTGCATGGGGACAACTGCTTACTACAGGACTGGGGGTCTCAGAACACAGAGTCCTCAGAAGAGCCCTGTAGTTTGTCGGCAGTCAAGGTGGTGAGGTCCCCATGACAACAAACAGGGTGCTGTGTCTTGATGCTGTTCCAGGAGCCCTCACCCGTTTGGTTCCTTTCCTACAGTATGGGAGTTGATAACAAGACAGTGTTCCTGCTGCCTTCGGGATGCAGAGGGGTGTGTTTCTAGGGACAGTAGGTGGATATTCTTGAGTGTTCTGCTCCAGCTTCACTTTGATTATGACAGAGAGGGATGGAGTTGGTAAAATAAGAGATGATGATGAATCAATAAATCACTTACGTTCACTAGACAAACAAGTGCATGCTCACCAGTGTCTCTGCACAAATGTAGGCCTCCCTATAGAAACAGTCCTTGGATAACTGACCTTGTGGTTGTGCCCATTCAGCCTAGTAGACACAGAGCACTGCACGTTTGCCTTCTCTGTTCTCATCCTGTGAACAATCAGTGGCTTCGGGCAGCTGGAGTGAACTCTCAGGAAATCTGCTGTCTGAACGTATGTTCTGTCTTAGCCTCACTTTGCACTGAAGATGGTCCATGTGCTCATAGGGTCATGGAGACTTCCTCCAGCCCAGATTGTTTTCATTGCTACATAAAATAAGGTACAAGAACTGTGCATTTCTAGATCATATACTGCTATATATGCACGTCAATTCAGTTTGTTCTTAGCTCCATAAATTTGGGGGAGTTAATCATTTTTTACTGCCACCATTAAGAATGGCCACTGCCAAAAGCATAGTGTCATTGTGAAACCACAGTTCTACAACAATTAGAAGCTTGTGTTTACATTGGTCTATTGTTGATGGATTTCACTGTCAGCTGCAGAAAACATGATTAGGAGGCAGTGAGATTAGATTAATGTACATAGACAGTGCTTATGGAGTAAGAAGGGAGAACATAGGAGCCTGTGGATGGGACAAAAATGACATACAAGATCCTAGTATTCCCTGGACTTTTCACGACACCATCCCAGAGGTTCAGGTACACTGACTTTGAAACATCCTTGAATTCGCTGTAGTTTTAGAAACTCAGAAAGAATAAGATTGGCCTAAGTTTGGTTACATCCTCCCCTGATGATTGGAAGGGAATTTCTTTGAGTCAAATGTTTTAATTACATAGAGGCCATTAAATATTACAGTCAGGTTTTGACAAATACTACAGTTTGATAGTATATACAAAGTTGAAGAGATGATGTATGATAATTAATGGTTTCATTGTGCATATAATCTGCTCCTCCAAGGACATGTGCACACAACACACGCACACACTCTCACATACAGAGTTGTGTGCACAGACCCACACACATACACTTTAGATCTGCATTTTAAATAATGCTCTGTCCAAATAAAATGCCACAGGCTCACATGCACCAACAACAAAAACAAAACACTCTACACACTTTGTAAGTGGATAATTCCATTCAGTGACCAAGACTAATGGGAGTCCACAGATAAGCTCCTGTTCTTAAGTTCTGATCTGTGAAAGGATAATTTGACTTCTCCCTCTACCGTTCGATGTCTTTTTCTTACTGAATTGCTCTGGCCAGAAATTCTATGTTGAGTAAAAGCGGTGTCAGTGGGCATCCTTGTCTTGCTCCAGACCCTGGAGCAAAAGTTTAGTCGTTCATCACTGGATATGATGTTAGCTGTGGGCTTGTCATATATACACTTTATCATTCTGAGGTGCATTCCTTCTACTACTAGGTTTTTTGCATCTGTTTATCATTAAATTGTGTTGAATTTGGTTTAATTTTTTTTTTCTGAATCTATACTTTCTTCAACAAATGGTATTAGGGAAAATAAACATTCCCAAGAAAAAGAATAAATTTGAACCCTTATATAATACCCCAACCAAAAATTAACTACAATGGATTACATACTTAAATTTAACAACCAAAAGTCTAAAAATACTAACATAAATTTAGGGAGTTCAATGTTGAGTAAAAGAGGTGTCAGTGGGCATCCTTGTCTTGCTCCAGACCCTGGAGCAAAAGTTTAGTCGTTCATCACTGGATATGATGTCAGCTGTGGGCTTGTCATATATAGACTTTATCATTCTGAGGTGCATTCCTTCTACTACTAGGTTTTTTGCATCTGTTTATCATTAAATTGTGTTGAATTTGGTTTAATTTTTTTTTTCTGAATCTATACTTTCTTCAACAAATGGTATTAGGGAAAATAAACATTCCCAAGAAAAAGAATAAATTTGAACCCTTATATAATACCGCAACCAAAAATTAACTACAATGGAGTACATACTTAAATTTAACAACCAAAAGTCTAAAAATACTAACATAAATTTAGGGAGAAGTATTTATGACATTAGATTTGGGAATAAAATCTATATATTCACCAAAAACATCAAAAGCAAAAGCATGAACAGACAAATGGGGCTATAGAAGACAAAATCTGTGCGTCCATGGGCACAATTAACACAGTAAAGCAGTAACCAGTAGTGCTTGTGTGTTTGCGAGTTTGCATGATTGCCGAAGTGTTTGTTTTGCATATGTGCTATGACAAAATCTTTTACAGTCGTTCCCCACATTTGTTAGCAGATTTATTCACCCTGTGGCATATTGTTGTTTACTGAATAATTCAAAATGCTATTTTATTTAAAGTGGAAAAGGCAGGCATTCATTTCTTCTAGAACAGCTTTTGTAGATAGATGCACCTTCTCTGACCAACATGTCACTCATGTTGCTAACAGAGCATCAGGTTCCAGAGAGTCTGATGATTTCCATGAGCTGCTCCTCAGATCCCGAAACTGTCTGGATTTAAGCCTTACCTGCCATGAAGCCAGAAGACTACTGATTAAGGAGCCAATCCAGAAGGTGGAGAAGTTCAGTGATGCACATCCCAGCACTCACTGTCACGTGACTCAGTGGTGGTGTGAAGACTACTCCCTGCAGGACAGCTGGGCTCGTCATCAGGGTAAGTGTGGTGGAGCTTCTGTTTTAAATACGGAGCTGACTTTTTTTTCTGGAATCAAAGATGATGGGGTGAGGTCCATCATCCCTGTGATTAATCAAAAATTTCAGCAGATACAGGACCCGCCTTCTTTTCATGGAGTCAGCCCAGGGAGGTGGCCAAACACTGATGAAGAGTTCTATGTCCATCTGTGAGAGGCACACAGAGGTGGACACATGGTGATAATCAATCCACAGAAAGATTATGCAGCTCAGATGAGTTATGCTTCAGAGAAAGATTGAAACAGACGTAAGGAAATGACATAAACTTGGAATTTGTTGTCATCAGGCAGATATTTTCAGCATCTTTTTTTTTGGAAAATTAGGAAATGCTATGAATAAGCATTATAGGCCTATTAAAAATTATTCATATCATACCAATAGAAATCATATAAAAAATTCACCAAAAACATACATATACTGATGTAAATTACACACACACACACATAATAACACATAAAATCACATTCACTAAGAGAAACATATACAGATACACACACAGTAACATCCACAAAAATAAGCACAAAATTTGCACACTAAAATGCACACACTACACATAAACACTAATGCACAGATTAACAAATACAGTAACAGAAAAAACATAGAGAAAAACATGCACACATAAATACAAACATGCTGTGACTGTATGAAAGATGTTTTATGCACATAGAGGATAAATACCAGGGCAAATCAAGGAAGCCAACCCCAGCCTCCTGCACCTGCTCTCCACAGGGGACCTTGTGATCCGTGGGTCCTGAGCTCCCCCTGCAGACCAGCCCCCTCTGCATCTTTACAGAGGGTCATTTGTGTTTTGTAGGCTCAGTGAGTGAGTGGATCCCTCACCATTCAGATTTTTCCAGCTAATCTCTGAGACTCTCACATGGAGGAGTTTCTATACATTGGCTGAATTTCGAGGTTTACTATCACACATGCCTGGGTAGGACTGGAGAATGTTTTGATAGTACGTTAAGGGTTTACATACTAGAATAATTGCTCGCATGCAAGTCTCTTTGAGGAGATTAAGAAAATGAATTATAATAACTATTCATAAATTAAGTAAAAGAAGAAATGTTACTCATGAAAGATTTGTGGATACACATTCTAAAATGGAATAAATTTATGTGACATACCCAATAGACCCAGAAATTTTCTGAGAGAAGTACACCAGTACAGACACTGCCAGCATGGAATGAAAGGGACTGAGAAAGGACAAAGTAAAAGAGACTCTTAGACTTCCAAAATTCAGCCATCAGAAAACTGGCTGATGGACGTGCTCAGCTGCAATAATCATTGCAGGGGGTGTGTCATACCCAGATTTTAACCCACACTTGATTTGGATGATTTAGATAAGAAAATATGGAGCTTTTGAAGTGTAATCATGTTAAGGATCATAAGATAAAAAGGTTTTTCTGGATCATCTCTTTGGCCCGTAATGCAGTCGCAGGTATCAGGGGGAGGCAGAGTGAGATCCTGCAGAAGAGAATGAGGAAGCCCAGAGGCCACTGAGTCTGATGCTCTAGTCCTGGCTGTGAATGTGGCGCAGGAGGTCCTGGGGCAGTGAATGCAGTGATGCTGCTACAGAAGCTGGGAAAGGCAGAGAAACACACTCGCCCCTAGAATATCCAGCAGGAGCGTGGCCCTGCAGCAGGAAGTGAGGCAAATAATAATAACAGTAATCATGATGATGATGACGATGATGATGATAACAACAACAATCATAATAATAACAATAGTAATAATAATAATAATAATAATAACAATAAAAATGTAAGGAAAA